TAACAATAATAAAATGGCAAATCAGTAACAGGGTGGGCATGTCAGCCCCCATGGGTGCGCCAAGTGGCTCTGTGCAGGGGGCTGTGCCGGGGGCTGTGCTGCTCCCAGCCACCTCAGGGAGAGTCCTTGGACTTGGTTGAAGTCAGACTGCAGTTGTTCAAAAGCTTTAATGCAGCCAGGCTTGTGTGGATTCAGGTAGCAAAAAGGTGTGTTCCTGATCAAAATGTGCTGTCTGTCTGTCCAGATTTCAAGTTTCTGCTACGAAGCCCATGGATGTTAGCTCTCTAATTTAAAGTATTGTTGCCTGTTACTTTTTCTCAGCAGCTTTTCCTAAGAAAAGATTTATTGTCTTAGTTAATTTTTTTAAAAAAGAAGCCCCCTCCCCCTATTTAATCATTCTCCATATATAAAATTTCCACCAAATTACAGTTCTGCAAAGAGAGAAGCAACAAAAACAGGGGGTCATGAACAGAGGTGCTGGGCAAGCTGGCTAATTAGCAGCTCTATCATCCCTACTTGCAGCTCTCACTTTTTGGTGTGTACGCAGTGGTACTCTGTATCGGGCCCTCTTTAGCTCTGAGTAACATCGGTATATTTTTCCCCTTTATTTCCCCCTTTAAAAATTGTGTTGATGGCTTGGGAAAGTCCAGAGCCACGGTCTAACCCCTTGGTTTGCGTTGATACTGATCACAGTGTTGGTGGCAGATGGGAGAGCTGGAGCTGTGCGCTCAGTCCAGGCAGGAAAGTCTTGAGACTGCTTCAGCCATCTGCCAGCAGGGATCTGTTTTTTCACACTTTATTTAACAAACATGCACGCCTCTCACAGCCTCTGCACCTATCTGTTTTCCAGGAGGATGAATACATCAATATTGAGAGTGATCTGCATGGCAACAAATGTGACTCAGTAGATGACGAGCAACCACGCTTGAAAGGGTAATATCTTTTGGATGAGTAGGTTTTCCACTCACTTTATCTTGGCCTAAGCAATAAGTTGCCAGTGTTTCTGCTTCTGGAACAACAGCTCTAAATTTCATTGCCATACCCCTGTGCTGCACTGACCTTTGTATTGCCTGGTAATTTCTGTAATACAGAAACACATTGTATTTAAAATTATTATACCTTTCAAATGACAGGTGTGATCATGGAACTATCCTTCTAAAGCCTTGTAAATTAAAGGAGCAATATTTTTTCTTTTTGTACGTTAACTACTTTCCAAATATTTCCATAAGAACCTCTTTTTAAAGAGAAGTTTTAAACTGTGACCTCTTCCAGGAAGTTACAGTTTCACTCTTGTCCTTTAGTTTTTTATAGCTATTTACCCCAGTGTAAAATAAGCACAGAATAGCTGTAAAAAAAAATGGATGGATGGAGCATAATTTTTACACTGGTGCCAAGTGGCCACACAGTGAAAGCACTTATCTGCATTTTTGCCTGTCGTTTCTGTTGAAAACTACAAACCCTGTATAAGACATTAAAAAAATTAAAATACAATACTTCTTTAAATTTTATTTTAATGTCTTAGTATTTTTCTGTCATATTGAATCTTCATGTAAACCTTCACTGAAATTATACTGTACTTTTCCCCCAATTTCTACGACTGCATTCTGTTATACAGGACATCATTTCAGCTTTGAATTTGCCTTTCTATTGGCAGATTATAGCAACTCAAATAGGAGTTGCTGGATACCTCAAATAGGAGTTTATCTCACTCAGATTGGACTACTTGGAAAGATCTCATGCCTGTGCAAATGATACACTTATATACAGAAGCAGCTGTGAAGATTTTAATTTAATGTTTTTGAGTTGTACATACAGAACTTCAAAGACTTTTTAATATGATTGGGTTTACTGATGCCATCATATTAAGTTAAAGTATTTAGAAGTCACTTAAATATTCTCTTGTGTCTTCTCTCTGTTCTTTGGAGATTTGTCATTTCTTTAGCAGTACAGAACATGAAACAAGTTCTTGTTTCAAACATTTAGGGTCTTATCTAGCCAAAACGAAAGCTGGGATTTGGTAGATCAAACATCCAAGCTTGGTAAGCCTCTCCAGTGGGAGGCATCCAGCATCCCCCCAGAAGTAAGCTAATTGCGCAGGCAAGTGTTGGCACACAAATGGCTGGACGAGGTTAGCGGAGTTTCTCCCCCACAAACCTAGGCCCACAGGAGTCACTTCACAGAGCCATCTCTGTACAGAGATGGGTTGAGTTGGGGCAGAGGTGGAGCCTGTATGGTTTTTATTAGTTCTTGTTTATTTGTACTGTGGTGGAGTGCTGAGGGATAAATAAATTTGAATTCATAGGGCTTATTGTTCCCAAGGTCTCCTTGTTCTTCCATCAGCAACAGGTACCATTGCCTGGGGTAGTAAAAGCTTCTGGAGGGCTGGAGGCTGAAGAGCACTTTGCTCTATTTTGATTACATTCAGGCTATGGCTTGTTCTGTGCTCTTTGGTTTTTTACCCGGTTTCGTACGTTTTCCTATGTTTATATTTATGTGGAGCACCTGAAAAGGGCCATGGTATCTCTACCAAGTTATTTTTTGTAAATCAGCTCCTGAAAGCAGGCAGTAATGTGACCTATCATCTTCCTTGTATCTGCTCAAAAGGGGCATTCACAATGTGTGCCTCCATTTTGAACGTCATTGGTTTCTTTCAACAGATAGTACTGAAAAGCCTGTGGTCTGAGACACAGCTCCTTTGAAAGATCTGTCTGTTGATAATTAGGATTCACTACACATGCAAGGTGTTAACATTCAGACATGCAGACCAGAAAAAGGCTTTCTGAGTTGCAAAATGCAAGCAAGAATAGTTTTGGCATTTAGAAATATTTCACATTAAATTTCTCCTTTGAATGTGCTTGAGTGACACCTGCTTTTTCCACATCTTTGTTTAAGTAAAAGCTGTCAGCAACGTGCTGCACTTTAAGCCTATAGGATCAGTTTTTAGAAAATAATGTTCCCTTAGTAAATTAACAAGATTCCGTAAGAAAGATGTTTTTTTCTGCAATCTTTCAGAACAGAGCTGCATGTTTGTGACATATATGCTTAAACTTTTAAGATATCCTGGTACCAAAGTTATAATCACCTAAATTAATAAAATAACAATAGAGCAAAGAACAGATTACAAAGAATTTTAATCTGAAGAATTTTAAATACCAAAGGACTCATAAGTAGCAGTAACAGTACATAATATTTTTTTCTTTTTTTTGTTGTTGTTGATGGATGAACCATAAATTTCATAAAGTAACTCTGGCTTATTCATGCATCTGTCTCTCATTTCTCCTTTCTTTCTTTTCCTGTTGTACCTGATCTCTCTGCTGAGATTGGGTAGATGATAACTTTATGTTCTGATTTTTTTTTTTTTTTAAAGCTATCATTTATAAGGCAACAGGAATTCCCAGAACTAAAAGTGAAATATCAAAAGCAATCAAGATTTCTCAGAGACCCTATTACTCTGTGTAGAGGTGAAGAACTATGTTCCTGGTCTGCTGTCCTGAGTGCTGATAAAGTCAACATTCCTTGTTTCACTTTGATTTCTTTTGAATTAATCTTTTTTTTTTTTTTTTTTAATACAGCAAAGAAGGGTATTCTTGCTGAATTTCAGTGTGCATCCGACTCCAGCTGCATCCAGTTTCCAAACAAGTAGAGTCTGGATAATTATAATCTCTAAATATAAAGTTGCCTTTATAGACTGTAAGGTGTGAGGCACCACTCTAGAGAGACAGAGCTATAGCTATGATTTCTTTTCAGCTTGCACAACACAAGGGTGTTTATTTAGCTAGAGCTTTTGTAACTGAAATATGTCCACATCATCAGCATACTTAACATTGGAAATCTGTGTTGAATTAACTCCCTTAACTGCTATTTCACTAAATTTCAGTCTCCCTCCTGAAACCACTCTATGTTATGAGAAAAGAAAGAAAATGAAGGATGTAATAATTGGAAGAGCAGAAACTAGAACAGGATATTCAAATATAACAAAACATTTTAGCTTCCGTGAATTAATGAATCTTAGATGAAAAGTTAATGTAATTAGCAACTAAATTTTCAAATATCCAGAAATATCTATGCACACTGTAATAAGGTTTTAGATGGCTATTTGTTATGTTGCACACACAAATGCAGCCTTAGGCCTGCACAACACTACTGCTCCACATAGCAATGCTGGGCTGGCCATTTTAGCAATCTTTGTGGGTCTACACAAAGTACTGAATCTTTAACTACCTAGGCAGTTTGCACTAACCCTGTTAACAGACCTCCTCATAGAAGAGCTGTACTTCAGAAGCTATAAGAACTGCCCTGCTAACTTCAGCCCATTGACAGACTGGCTCATTAAATACCTGCCACATTTTCTTTTTCACTTGTCCAACATCAAACCAAAGATATCCCCCTCAAAAGCTCTGCAGGTGTCAGCATGATTTTCTTTGGCACTCAGGGATACAAATTTAAACCCTACTGAGTGTAGAGTACTCCAGCGGTCAATTTAATTGATCAATTTAACCTGATTTTCCTATGCAAATTACTTTTTTATCTACAGCTTAAGTTTCTGTACTGTTTGTTTTTTTGTATTTTCCTAGGCATTTAGAAAAGAAATATGATAAAGTCTGTGAATTTTACAAGAAACATAAAACCAGAATTCACTATGTGATCTACGGAATTTTAGTAACAGGTACAGTATATTACACCCAGGGTTGCTGAAGCCTTATATATTTACCTATTTGAGATTATAGACTGTGCCTGTCTTCTGTCTGACACCAAAACTCTTGACAGTCTCAAATAATGTGTTTGAAGGGAGCTAAAAGTGAATTTAGTCCCAGGGAAAGCTCTAGATCACAAAACCTCCACTCATTCTCAAACTTAACAAAAGTACAGATCTTGCTACACTGCACCTCCAGCATGTTTGAACTCTGACTAGCAAAAAAAAAGAGTAGTTGAGTCTTTGCATCTACTCCATTACCAGCCCCCTCCAAGAGGCCTGTCAAATTCCAGTTTTAGGAACTTGCCCAAACCCATGAAATTACATTAAAAAGAGTCAGGCACCAACTTGGACTGAACTTAGCGGGCTAGAAATGAAGATTTTCTGTTCTGAGCCATATCACTTGATATCAACATCAAATGTTTGCTAGGAGAAATGTGTTTTCTGTCAGCATGCACTGCACAGTCATTCAGATATTCTCCTTTGTCCCTTCCCTGTTAGCCAGTAGGTTGGTTCCCTTCACCAAGGAAACTTCACCAAGTTTCTTTCTGAGATCCTCTGCTTGAGCACTGAGAACACATAGACCTAAAATATGTCTGTGTCATAGGCATCAGCATAACACAAAGTGGTTATAAAAGGGCTGCTTCCATGCTTAATATTCTGCCCTCCTAGCATCAGTTCATCTTGCTTTGTCATAGTACAGACATGTTCTGGCTCAAGAAAATTAGTTCTAAGGATACATCAGGGTTTCGTATGTTAATTCCATAAAAAACTTGCCTTACAAAAATTAGTAGATCTTTTCCTTATTTGCCATAGATAAAATCAGATTATTACTTACAAGAAATTACTGTAAGTAATTACACTGGTCAGCAGATATTAGCAATGAACTTGCCAAATTACAAGTCATTTCAGAGCTACTTTATGAAATAAACTACTAAGCTTCCCAGTTACTTGAGAGAGCCATCAAATTAGGCAATTGACAAATGTTTTTAAACTTTTTTTTTTTCTAGTTTTCAATAAATAAATAATTCAATAATTTCATCTTCTTGTGAAAGAAGGAACAAGACCCATTGTGCTTAATTCACAGTTTTTACACAGGAAAACACAGTTCTGTAGAGGTGTTTAATTTTCCCAAGTGATTAACATGTTTTATATGAACTTGGCTTGGCCAAAGCATATAACCTGCTTTTACAGGATGAAAGCCACCTTTCATATAAATAGGCATATCATAAGTAACAACACTATCTAGGATAAGAAATTTTTCAGTGCTTAGGTCAGGAGTCAGGATAGTGCTTAAAAGATAAACACAGGCCTGACTTTAACCACATCCTTTAAATTTAAGATTTGATTGTACTTTTAAAAATACCAGCCTAACTGACATGTACATTGTTGTTTCTGTGACAGCATACCTGGCAGTAGTTATTGCAGCCTGCAGCTTGAACTTTCAGAGAGCCTTGCCACTCTTTATCATCACTGTCCTCGCCATTTTCTTCATCTGCTGGGATTTTTTAATAGCTAAGTATGAAGACAGAATTGCTGCATTCTTTTCCCCTGGAGAAAGATATCTGGAGAAACAGTGGTTTTGGCTGAAATGGTAAATACTAATTACTTCCTATTTATGCAGAAGGACAAAGCATTAGTCAATTTAACACTATAGATTTATTTCAACTTATACATCTACATTTCCCTGAACAGGGAAATGGATCATTCACACAAATTGCAATACAATCAAAGAATGCATAGAGAATGATTCAGTATTTTCCAGTTTATAGATGTCAGACACACCTTTAAAATTGCAATACAGTGGCTAGGTATCAAAAAATCTTGCCAGAAAGTGTAAAAAAAAATCCTCAAATTGAGGTAGGACAAGTTTGTGGTTGCAAGACAACATGTTCACAGAAGTTCAGATGTGTTGTAACCTTCTGCATTCATTCTGCAAGCCATGAAGTGTCTCACTGTCACTTGTTCAGAGTGGTGAGATTCGTAAAAACCTTAACTCTAATATATGCAAACTGATAAAGACTGAAGTGTGTTATCTAGACACTACTTGTTCACATACACCAGTATCAATTTTTACTTGACCTTCAAGGATCAAAACATGCCAGACACATTTAGTGTCATAATAAGATCATACAACCTCATTTGGGCTGGTAGACTTTCATCTGGTGGGTAAACAGTTACATACTTAGATCTGGTAGATACTTATTCCAGGTATTCCTGAGCAGTTATCAAGAATATTTAAGTGATTCCTGGGAAAATGGGGAGCCAGAGGAGGCTGGTAGACCAAAGAAAAGACCAAATGAAATCTCATTAAAAAGGAAAATTAAATTTGCCATCTGCCTTCTCTCTCAACTAGGTCACTTTCTATGTGAGAGAGAAAGTCATTCTGGATTCAGGAAAATATCCCAACTTATTCTTAAGATTTTGAAATGGTTTTGCCACAGGAGCAGAAATTTCTAAGAAAGATGCTATAAAGATTGTAGTCCTTCTGCTCAGGAGCCACATTAGAGTGTGGTCACACACAGGCACCTCCATTAAATGATCTGGCATCCTCTTTGGGGAAAGTAGCAAATAGAACAGGAGAGCCCTGATGAACAGATGGAGCAAATCAGGGGCAGTAACTGCTGTAGTATCTGAGCTGCAATCCTTAAATTTTACATATCACAGATTAAGTGCTTAACTGGAGGTCACAGATTCTTCCAGGAGGCAGAAAGTCTCTCAGGTATAGAAAGTGTTACTCAGCATTGCAGTGGCTGAGTAATTTGTGGACTTGGTCTGCAATATTTTTGATCCAGGTCTAAAAATGGAATTTAGGTATCTAGGTACCACTGAAATCAGTGGGAGTTAAATAACTCTTAGACACAAGTGACACTAAAGGACTGGGACAAGTAACACTGGGACTGGGACTGTAAATGGGATGATGTATTTCACTGCCTCTCAGGCTGTTGTTGTGATCGTTACCTTCAATGTGCAAGCAGAAATAGGTTCTGTGATAGTGGGGACCATAGAAATACTGAACATAGATATACACATCTCTTCTAATTATTTCTGAGGTAGCTAAAATCATTGTGATTAAAAGTTATTTTTCTAAACAGATTACAGCCAGTTACAAAGAAGTAAACTGTTTATAACCTGTTCCTCAATACTGCATGTTTCATAGGCCCACCAATTAAACAGCACAGTGCAATTCGTAAAAACCACAGTCTGTCTTGCTCAGAGCTAAGAAAAGATTCAATAAAGAGAGGAAAGGAAAATGAGGAAGGAGTGAGAAAGGAGGGTATCATATTCTCACATTTCATTTAATAGAAATAACACCCAGACAAGAGTCACTCATGTTTTATAACTTCCCCTCACACTCTGACTTTGGGGACAAGGTTGGAGGATATTTCTTCTGGATGCCACCAAGGCATGTAGTTGTCAGAGCTGCATCAGCAAAGACAGGTTCCTTCTTGTGTACCTACAAATTTCATCTTAATACATTTCTCAGAGAGTTCATTCACAGACAGAGATATAAATATGGAGAGGGGAAGGGGAAGGAATATCTGGTCTTCTTCAGGATATCATGCCTGTCACTCTTTTTTTTTTTTTCCTAGGGTGTTGTATGCAGCTCTTATTATAACTGTCATCTGCTGGCTCATCTTTGACACAGCAAAACAGGGATCCCGCCAGCTGATCTCCTTTGGTGGGCTTGCAATGTATATTCTCTTGATGTTTATCTTTTCCAAATATCCAACCAGAGTGAGTATTTAGTCCATGTTGACTCTTTCAGGGTTTTTTTGTTCAATGTTTCAAACGCTATTCCCCTACCATAGCACCAACTTCAGTTAGAGTACCAAAAAACCCACAAACATAAAAATTTAGGCTTGCCAAAACCCAGTGATGTTTCATTTCTGTGGAAAGTAATTTTGCTCTGACACCTTGGGGAACATGCATAGGGCTGTACCAGCATCTGGTTGTCACTATTTTGGAAGGCTGCTGCCCATCCTTTGTTCCAGCCCTGATGCAGATTGGAACACATTTGTTCCTGGAGCACCTGTGCAAGCTGAGGCAGGCTTGCTCCATGCTTTCCACCCACAGGAGGCTCACCACAATCCTCAGAACATCACAGGCACTTATTTGAGGGCATTGTCATCACATCAACACAAATTGCATGGAACTGAAGACATGCTTCCATCGTGTAGTTCTCAATCCCTCGCAGATTTGTTTCCCACTGCAAATGCAGCAGCTGAGGCCAAGCTGAGGTCCTCACTTTTCACTAACCCACTCCCATAGGCTTGTCAGTGCCATTTATTTTAATTTTCCAGCTGAGATGTCTACTCTGTACTGCTGTGATACTACAGAGGGGTTACTTCAGCCACCACAATTTCCACCTCAGCTTTTAATCCTGTGTGCATGCCCAGCACACAGTGCATGCTCATATATTAATCCATTGTCCAGGTCAACACTCCTGTATCAGTGCTGAGACTTTCTTAAGGGAAAAACTGTCCTCAGCAGGGACTGATGGATCTGTCATTCCCCATCCTTTGCAACTGCTGCTTTCTCCAACTGAGGTGAAATCTCATGTACTCCAAACACTTTGCGCTCTCCCATGGGTCCTCATTACCCTTAATTAGCTTGTGTTATTCAAATATCATCTGAATAAATTAAAGAGTGCCATCTCTACTCTTTGCCTGGTAAATAATCAGATTCAATTTTCACAGAACAAAAATGTTTTCTGAGGCAGCAGAGCAGAAATCTGCAGTGTAGTGAAGAGGAACTTGTCACAGGCGGCCACACTTTTTCCTGCAGCTGCCTTTGTGTTATATGAACCACAGTATCTAACTGTGAGTAGTTCTCAAGTATCAAAATTCTTTAAAACTGAGGAAGAGAAACAGAGCTGAAGTTACGCAAGCGCACAGACTTGTAGCAAAATGTCCTTATTCCCAGTCCATGTATGTGAAGAATCCACATGTTCAGTTACTGGGGTTTTTTATGTTTCCATTCCAGTTTAAAAAAAAAAAAAAAAAAAAAAAAGAATCAGTCTGCTGCCCTCATGTATATCTGTTTCCTCTATAAATTGTAACACAGGAAGAACTGTCTCTCCTTTTACTACTAGTTGATTGCTTGCAGTCTGTGATGGTGAAATACTGGTCCATACTTACCTAGCCAGGGTTTCAGCAGCTAACTCAGATGGAGACATCCACATTGCAGAGCTCTCAGATTAGGAGAGATGATTCACACTTCAAGTTTCCTACAACCAGTTTTGGAAGCTGCTGCTATCCTGCAGTGTAGATAATCCCTTTACATTGTTTTAGCAAACATTTAAAGTAAATTATTATTTATTTAAATAAAAAGTGGTTTCTTTATTTTTCTGTCCATCTAGGTTGCTTGGAGACCAGTATTTTCAGGAATAGGAATGCAGTTTATACTTGGGCTTCTTATTATGAGGACCAAAGTGGGGTTTGATGTGTTTAACTGGCTAGGCATTCAGATCCAGGTAAGCTACTGGGAAAAAAAATCCGTTTTATATACATTTTTTTGTCTCTAGACTCTTATATATAACAGCCAGGCAGTTCCAGGATCCAGGTTCAAGGGGATGATTTCCCCTCTTGAGAAAAACAGGGTTTTCAGAAAGGTAATTGATTACCTGAATTCAACCTTCTCATTTCTTTTTTGTCCATTTAACACAAGAGCATTTGGGACAGGCTGATGAGTAATGGCCAGAGAGACCCTGTTTCTTAATGTCTTCACCATCCTTGGGCTGAAATTATAACTTGCACCCTCTTAACACAAAACCACTATTGTTCCAAGGCACTCATAGAAACTCTTAGAACTGGCCCAACTCCAAAGCATCCTTGCAATAAACCTGATATGCTGAAAAGCCTCAGGATTTAACAAGGCAGAATGACTGTTGACTTCAGAGTAGCCACAGTCCTGGCCCCAGGGACATTTTATATTTCTCATAAAATGTAAGAAAATAAATTAAACTATAGGTAGCAAAACCCACAGCTGCAAGAAGCAAAGGATCTCTAGAGATGGGACAGGATCTGTCCATAGTTACCCCTGCAGGCAGTCTGCACGCTCAAAGATTTTTTTTAAAAGTCCATGACCGTAAAGCAATAAACAAGAGAAATACAAAATGTAGATCAGAGAGTACCTACTGAAAGGCATTCAGAATTTTCACCCCAGAGATGCTATTCACACAGCTGTTCTTCACAGTACAGATAATTACGCACATTTAAAACAAGATAGAGCAGAATGTACTGTCTCTGCGAGGGAGCAAAGGCAAAGGTCTGACGTCTGTCTGGCTCCTAATCCACAAGCAGTGGGAGTCATCTGGGTTTTGTCACCAGGTTCTGTCTCCCCTTTTGCCTCTGACTGAAGTGGGTCTGGTGCCCCCTTTTGTTAGCTCCATATGGCTTACAGTCACTCCTGTCATAACTCATTACTCTAGCTACTATATCTCCATTTTAAACTGTATCATTAATTGCATATGTTGGCATCAGTAGTATAAAAATGCACCACCATATCAGAATTAAAATGTAGAAGATTTTTTAGACTAGCTTTTATTTTTACTCTAATTATTAAATTGTTCTTAGCTCAACCTACAAGTCTCCTTACCTTTACCCCTCCAATTCTCTCCCCGATTCCCTGGGTGAGGGCAGAAGTGGGGCTGTGGTGGTTGTTTCTTGTTTGGCTGCCAGCCAAGTTAAACTATAACACTAATCCTTTCAAAATTCATTATTCAGTCATTCAATCTCCATGTTAAACTGTATCATTTATGGCACTTATTTGCTTGAGAGGGAGTGTAGAAATGCACCATAATATTGGAATTAAAAAATAAGTTCTTCTTTCAGTATAGCTTATGGCCTTTATCTTGTTGGCTACATCATGAAAATGTACCCTATGCCCTTGCTGTTTATCTACATAGTCTGAAGCAGCCTGCAGTCTTGGCAGAGTAGAGCAGAGACCCTCAGTTCAGCCAGACACCATCAGTGAAGCCTGGACCCATACAGAGTAGAGCACAAACTTCTTGGACTTCACCAGATCTCTGCAAGACAACTAGCAATATTTGCTTAGTTTTTGGCAGGAACCCAGACCTTATGGCTAACTTTCTTTGCTTTCTCTCCCTAGACTTTTCTGGAGTATGCTGATACAGGTGCTAAGTTTGTATTTGGTGAGAAATATACAGATCATTTCTTTGCTTTTAAGGTAAGACAGGTTTTATATGTACTGTACATGGCAGATAGACAACAGAAAAAGGAACAGCATGGCTGGGAAATACATTCATTGTATAACTTGTGATAGCACTATAGTCCCCAGAGAAATGAGCTAAGATATAAAATGTGACTTACTATGCGACTCTCCAAATAGAAAATTTGGGAATTCTGCATAAAACCCTCCATTTATTGCCATACATTGAATTAAGTTGCACTTTTTTAGTCTAATTACTGTCTAATTATAACAACATATATTACAAGTGGACAGAACTTCGTGATATGTTTCTAGAAGGAATAGACTAAAAGTCTGCTGTGTGGTCTGAAAGAAATATTACTGCCAGGGTATGTTCCCTACCTCTCCACAAGTAAAGGTGCTATACTATGCTATGCTGTTCCATCCTAAAGTGCTGAGCAGACTACTGCCTCGCAGACATTGACCCTGTAGGAGTAGAAAGCCTAGACGTATACTTATACTTCTACACCAGGAAGAAGAAGTAGAAGCTGCTTGTGCATAAGCAGGAAGAATTACATTATTATTATTATTATTATTATTA